ACGAGTCATCCTACTTGACCAGAGATCAGATGTGGCTGCAAAGTGGCTGCAGAAGTAGACACAGCCACAGCCTTTAACAGAGCAGGGTCATGTGACACGTACGAAAAGTCATTAAAAACATTGTCCTGGAAAAAATAGATTGATTATAGGTTCTGAATGTAGATTTCAATTACTTTTCGATTAATCACCCAGCCCTAGGTTTTCACCTATATTATGATAGAGGACAGTGGAGACTTTAAACAATAATGCATTGGGAGCAGAGAGAAGGGGAGGATCGGCAAAAGACCTCATGTCAGGAATCAAACTCAGGTCGCCGTGAGCACTTCTGTGCTATATTTGTCAGCGCATAGTACCACTAGGCTAGAGATCCCCAACTTAGGGCCCGTGGGCCAAACTTGGCCCAGGGTAACCTTTGATTTGTCCTGCCATCTCATCTAAAATAAGAGAGAGAATGATGGAAGGTTAGGGCCACAGAGCTTGTCATTTCTAATTTTAACGTAGCCTTTTGTTTGTTTGTTTAATTGTTGAGATACAAAATATAAAATATAATTACATTTTCCAATTAAATGTTGTGCATGAATAAAGATTGAAGACAAATATTCCTCTTGCTATCAGCTGTTACCACTGTTGATATCCCACCATGTCCAATTATTGGTTTATTTGGGGTTCTTCCACCCGAACACACTCTACCCTCTCATTTTGTAGACTTTGTAGCCTTCTTAACCCTTCTGGCTATAGACCATTAATTCTTCTGGACAGGAAGAGCCCTCACCCTCCTTTTCACACTTGTTGGATAAGAAATGTTCTTTGTTTTATGAAATTAGAAAAAAATTAGGTACTCTCTTCACCGAACTAGCAATATTTTTATTAAATTGTGGGAACCCCTTCGCAAATATGTCCAAACCCTTCAGCTTGACCCTGCTCCTTCTGATTGAATCCCCACCCCCTAATGCCCAGCTTTTACTGGAAACTATTTCTGGTCAACACATTGTAGACTTGTTTTTTTTTTCTGTATATAAGATTGCACTAGTGTTGTTGTTTTTTATTTATTTATCTATTTATTTTTAATATTATTTTTTATTTATTATTATTTATTTATTTATTATTATTATTTGCTCAAAATACTCTTCAGTGTATTTGCTTTATGTTATATGTTTATGTCTTTGTAAATTTTTGTAATGTTTCACAATGTATAAATAAAACATAAAAAAACTGTAAAGATCTTTAATGAGCAAATCAAGTGTTTTCAATGTGTTCAGCATTATAAATGGGATCGTTATATATATATATATATATTTTTTTTATTTTTATTTTTACATTTTATAATAATTATTAATACAATCAAAGTAATTTTCAAAGGAAATTACAATGGCGACCTTAATGTAACAGCCTGGCTTATTTAACTTCGGCCCACCACCCTCATTCAAGTTTGGTTTTTGGCCCTTAATAAGAAAAAGTTTGGGCACCCCTGCACTAGAATAACAGACCTCCAATACTTTGACAAGGATCTGTATATTTTGTGAAGCATAGCAGTATCATTTTTAAGAGCAAGCATTACAGATTAAGCCAAATGTTTACAAATCAATGGGAAAAACACAGTGCCAACCAGCCAGAGTTTTGTTTAGTGGGATGAAAATGAATGTTTCTTTTAGCAATAAATGACCCAAAAGACAGAAGGATGCCTTGGGTAGATATATGTATCTAAAAAGGTTTGTATTCTGCAAAGAGCAAACCAGAGGCAAGACTTGAATTGTAATGAATGGCTTATTCTGAGTAAAACCAGGCCTGGATAGATCTTTTTCCTATTTTCTATACCGGTATTAAGGGATAAAATCTCTGGAAAAACACAAAAATACAAATATTAAAAAAAGTTCATTTATTTTCTTTCAGCTCAGTCCCTTATTTATTAACTATTTCAGCATATGATTAACGCAGCAAATATCCTTTCGGCCACAACCCAGGGAAACATCCATACACACTCACATTCACTTTGGCCAATTTAGTTCACTTTTACTGCATGTGTTTGGACTGTGGGAGAAACCGGAGCACCCAGAGAAAACCCACACGAACATGGGGAGAACATGCAAACTCCACACAGAAATGAAACTGGCCCAGCCAGGACTCGAACTAGCCACCTTCTTGCTGTGAGAAGACAGCAAAAAAAAGTTAAATTATTTAAAAGTATAACCAAATTAGTCAAAAAAAATAATATTACTAACAACCAAATACATAAGGACATACAGTATGTTGAATTTTGAGAAACAAAAATTATCGGCACAAAGCTAAAATTTAAAAGAAAATGTTCTTGAATTCTAAATAAAAAATTTCTCTGCTTTAAAGGATAAGACGAGCTATAACAGGAACAAAATGTAGAGCACTTTATCATATGTTTACAGCAGACATGTGTCCGTATGACGTTGTGGCTTAAATTAAAGTGGCATGCCATGAATTCAAAAGTATTTCTGGCACCAAAACATTAGAAACTATGTAAGAGTTGAAGCCTGTGACGTTCACCAATGTGGGACAAAGGTCGCCTGGCTGCAAACACTACCAGCCATGTGAAATCAGAGACCACCAGGATCTAAAGTAGGGGAAAGGGCACATCACAAGATTGCATGCCATGTCACTGACAGAGACAGTCTTATGAAAGCAGAATTCACTGGCACATCAGGAAAGCCAAAAGGTCATTCCATGACGTGGGTGCATTCACAAAAATACATAGTAGATAGGGGGGGGGGGGTAGTCTATTGTTTGCATCAACTGTATGTTTACCAACAAAAAAAACAAAAAACAAAGTGTGAGTGCGTTTGGTATCTGCATATTAATGAAATTATGAGACACTCAAATTTCTGAAACTAAATTGTTTTAGAGGACACAAACTCAATATTTTATCTTGAAATGGTGCTTAAAATGAAAACATTTCAGATATTTATTAGAATGGCATGATGACCTCTCAATGTGGACTGATTAATTTATTTGCATTTTGCATTTCAAATCTACATCAAACATTTTTGGGGAAAACGCAAGTACAGTATTATGACACATTTACAACTACAAAATTACCGTACATGACAACTACTTATCATATAAAATGATATATTGAGTATTTACATTCATATTTGTGGCTTGTCACTAATTAGTGAGAATGTAATGCCAATAAGTTTTTTTGGAATATCCACAAAGTTTAAAAAGTACAGTAGTATACACAACATGGAACTAAATTTTGATTGGAACCTGGTAAAGGAATGCCTTTCACTAGAATAAGTCTTTTAGTAATAGTAAAAACAGCATGTAAAAAAACTGATTAAACAACACATCAAAACTTATTACAGTTGATGAGTTCCATAATGAATTTGTGAGTATTTATTTATCCTCATATGTCTGAAAGTATTTATTTTTATCCTAGGTAACCATCAAAATGATTAGGCAATATTCGACATTTATATATCATGTGAGAATGGAACAATACATACGCGAGTTGTCACTAATTTATTCATTATTTCATGAATGACCACAGAAATTGTTGTATCGGATATCTGTATATTATAATATAATTAGAAATGTTTAATATCATATGTGGTTAGCCACAAATATTTGGAAGGCAAGCTCAATTTTCTGTTCTACTGTAGATATTAGGTCTGCGCAACAAAAAAACCCCACATTTTAAATCTACTGTATATATACCATAATACAACATATTTTTGACAAATTACATAATGACGTTGTATAAAAGATTGTACTAAATTTAGATTTGAAAAAAAAAGTAATTAACTCAAAAAAATATTATATTTAGTCTACTAAATCAGAAAAATTCTGAGTATTTACAAGGGCTGCACAATATTGGAAAAATCGAACATTGCGATATTTTGTTATTCTGCAACATTTATTGCGCTATTAATACCAGTTCACCAGATGATTTAAATATCTCCATACAGAAATAATTGATCATTTTAGATTGATTGGGATGATTCTGTAGGGGAGTAAAAATCTAATAAACAAATTATAAGCATATATACAACAGAGAAAAGGTTACAATTGAAACAAATTGTTTTATCATTGTCCAGGTCTAACAGTATTTAGGAACAGTAACTTATAGATGAAGATACAAATAATGCAATAAAATTAATAGTTTTATCAAAGTTACTAACGGTACAATTTCATAAGGCTGAATGCTTTTAAAATCCTCATACAGTCACAGGCTTTAAAAAAAACATGTAAATCCTGTGATGTGACTATTGTGAATGATCACATTGTGATATCGATGCTGAAACGATAGATTGTGCAGCCCTAGTATTTACTTCCATATATGGGCTGACACTAATTTATGAGGATGCACACTTATCAAATGGTTACATTTGACATCTAAAGTGTGTATCTTAAAACTGTAAACATTTTTTCATATTTTCACTTATTTATTCCCAGTATGCCTTCTCAATATTTTTCTTGCAAAACCCAAAAGCTTTTACATCTGAAATGTATTTATAGCAACAGAGGTTTGAGTATTTGCAAAAAAAAGGGATTTACCTTTATACCTGAGCTGTCATTTATTTTTGAGAATGGAATGATAATTTATTTTGGAACGACTTCAAAAATTTTACATATGCTACTTATATATCATATAACTATATAAGTAGGATTATTTACCCTTAATTTTGTAAACATACTTGTCATCTACATATCATACAGCACTGTAATCATGAGTATTCACCATCATATGTGGGCTGTCAGTCACAAATTATTGAGGATGCAAATTTAACATTTGTACGACCTTAAAAGTTATAATAGCCATTGAAATACATAACAACAAAGTTATTTACACCAATACCTAAGCTGTTGTTAATTTTTAAGGATGTAATGATGTTTTATTTTGGAACAACTTAAAAAAATATTACATATGCTATTTATATATCATATAACTATAAAATTAGGATTATTTACCCTTAATTTTGGGAACATGTCTTATCTAGATATTATACAGCATTGAAATGATGAGTATTTACCCTCATATGTGGGCTGTCACTAATTTTTGAGGATGCGAACTCGATGAGATCTGCCCTGAGGTCCACCAGAAACTTCACCCCGCCCTGCACCCTGCTGATGTGGGTGAGCAGCTGTCGGTACCGGGGTGTCAAACTGTACCGTAGCCTGTCCTCCACCTGCAGGATGGTGGCCACATCCCGCACCTGAGCCTCCAGCAACTTTGCGGCCAGATCCGAAGCCCACCTGTGATCAACCCCGAAATCATGAGACAACTTCTCGAGGAACTCCAGCCTCTGCTCTTTCTCTAAACTCTTGTAAAAATGCATGAACTCCAAACTGTTGGATTCGGGTGGAGGTGGAGATTTGTCTCTCATCTCGTAGCTGGGCAATGGGGCCACAGTCTTCCTCAGGATCTCCTCCATGAGTTCGTGCCCTGCGATGGAGGAGCGTGGATGCATGCTTTGAAAATCCCAGAGTCGGAGTCCGTGGATTGTTTTTAGTACAGCTCTGTGTCGATACGACTTTAGCAAAGATCGCGCGACTGTACTTAAGTGGAAAGGTGTCATTGCGCGCCTGTCAAACACGCACCAAAATAAACCGTCTTGTATTATGTTGCAACACGCATTTACTTCCGGGGTCTCTTAAAGGGGCCACGCGCCGTTTTATGCAAATGACTAAATGACTGTACAGGATACTAAATGGAAAGTTGTAATCTTTTTACAGTATATGGTTGTAATTCTACAAACTCTTCAATTTAAACAAAGCATAAAAATTAATTAATGAATGTTTTGGTTGTTTGCTAGCATAAGTAGGTGGAAAATGTAATTTAGTAATAAAAATAGACTGGCATAAAACTGAGTAAATAAATATACTTGGCATAATCAAATTTTGACAGTATTAACCAGAAATGTATTATTTTTAAAATGTGGTTATTTAGCATTTAGTGTTTTAGTGAAAGCAAATTAGCAAAATTACATTATTTCAACCAAAAATAAACGTTTCTCTTTACATCTAATTAACGTTTATCAAAGACATTGATTCAACGTTGTTTTGCTCATCGGGGTAATGTTAAAATGATGTCAGGCACTTTATTCAAATCTAATATGAAATCAACCCTATAAGCTTTATGCACGGCCCTAGTGATTTTCAATTCACAAGGTTGTTTTACAGCATCGATGTTGTAAGGTAATTACAATACATTCAGTTAAATAAACTTAAGCATTTGTTTAGTTGTTCAAGCGTAAAACGAGATGAAAGACCGTTGTAACCGTTTGCACCATCAGTAGCAACAGGCTGGCGCAGAAATTCTATTGAAAATACTGGGGTAAAATAAACTGTCATATTTTAAATACATGACAGGGGGAAATGGAATTTAATGCAGTGCTTCTTGTCAGATCTGAGACCCACTTTATATCGTATATCTAACAGGAAGTGATATCGCTGATTTTTAAAGAAATCAGATCGTAAAAGTAACAGTTTTGTAATGTAAAGACAGTACACCGAAGCCCTTGGGCTGCCATGGCTGTAAATTAAATAATTAATTATCTCATAAGTAAACAAATATAAGTTGTGTATTTGATTGTTTCCTTTATCCATTTATATTAAAAATAACATTAAAATAATAATAATAATACAAACTTTTTTGCACTGTAAATAATTGTGCAACGTGTTTAGAACTTGTGATGTATAGAGTTTTTTTTTTTTTTTTACAAAGACAAAAAACAAATGTTTTCTTCATAAGAATAAACTTTGGAGGACGAAACCTGCAAAAACATAAAATAAATAAATATGCGAATATATAAATAAATGAGTAAATAAATCCGTAAATTCCTGCATAAATAAAATAATAAATAAATATGCAAATACATAAATGTATATAAAAATTACACAAATTTCTGCATAAATAAATATGTAAATATTTAATAGTGCAGCCAGGTATATAATTAAATAAATTACACAAATGTTGGGGGTATAAGAAAATGCTAAACTGAAAGCTGACCCCCCCCCCCCCAAATGTCAGGATTTTTCTGAAATTTATACTTTTCTATCAAAGACTAGAAGATTAATTACACTTTTTGTTTTCATTATCTTAAGGGGCTTTATATATGATTGAATCTCATTATAAAAAGCACAAAACATTGGCTTCACCTTCAAATATGTTGTATGTATGTATAATTTTTTTTATAAAAGCATAAGGATGTTGTTGATTAGGAAGAAAAAAAACAAATGTTTTTCTCATGAGAGTAATCGCTGTGTTTTAGCCAATCAGAAAACGGTGAGGTGACAAATAAATTACTGTATAACCAATGGAATGCGATTAGGGCGGGAATATCTTTTTTATCCGCCCAATGGCAGACGCGGAGTTAATTGCGGAACCTGTTTGGAAACGTCATGTATATTAGTTCCTTTTGGTGTCGCTAGTGGTAACTTACGCATGCTGCTTGTAGCAAAGTAGCACGCGATTTTAACACTTATTTTATATAAATATTTAATGAACAAGGTTATTTCAGCCACATTTTAAATGTAGCGTAAACTTGGTTATAAAGCACCCACGACACCAAAAAGTCAACTGTATGATCAAAAGCCACGTGGATCAATTACAACTGTACGTTATTTGCAGGTATCACGTTCATGTTTATTAATTTGATTGACATCGCAAAGCAAATATTCTGTTTTTACCATGCTAAACCAGTTAGTTTATTATGTTTTATGACGTGTTTCAGAAGATATCAAGACATATGCTTTGTACAAACGCTACTTTGAGTCAAATGTAATACTTTCAGAATTGGCTGAAAACTCCAGCTCTGTGAACGCCATGGAAAACGAGTTGAAAGACGATCCATGCTCGAGTGAAGAGGCATTTTCGTGAGTACAGACAGCTGTTATTGAAATTACAACACGCTATTAAACCCTTTAAAACATCACAAACAAATGTTACACTGTATGTCCAATCACATCACATCCACTTGTTCTGAAAGAAAGAAAAAAAGCCTCTTGATATTGACTTAATGCCACCCTGTAATTGTGCTCTTGCTGGCACACATTCCATTCAAACTCACACATCACCTCTAATGCATCTGTGAGTTCCCTATATGAGAGTACAAGTAGGCTAAATATTTATTATTCAGCTGAGAATAAGCAAGATTTAATGGCAACACAAACAACAGCTGCACATTATTACACACAGTGCTGCACTTTGCTGCAGAAACGCCTTTTGTGTTACTGCGAAAGATGGAGACAAATTGAGCCTCCCAAACAGATGATGTGCACCAGAAATCTTAAATCTAACCAAGTGTGAAGTGAGTGCCAGAGAGCTTGCATTCATTATTTAGAGAGTTGTACTCCATCTTCTTTATGAATAAATTATTTTACTTTGATATCTAATGCATTATATGGGCACGCTAACGCCGGGGACGTTCATCCGTCTCTGGCATTTGTAATTAATCTGATGAAAGACTTCGACACCTGTAAGTGTTGCTGACAGCAGCCTGTTGTGACGAGGCCTGCTGGCGGACTGTCACACACTCCAGTGAAGGGAGAAGTTTATTTGTAATGGGATAATATGTATTCAGAACTCTTCCTTTTTAATGGTGTTTTTTATGTCTACCCTTATCTAATGTATTTCCAGTAGTGGTGTAGCTGTAAACTGGGGCAATTTTAGGTTTTTCATTTATATGTTAGCCTAATAATTCATTTTAAGTAAGTTTATGTTAGCCTTAAAAATAACATTTTAAGTAATAATTTAAAGTAATACACTTTAACAAAAACGTAAAATGTTTGACAAATAAAACTGCGACTTTTCTAATTCAAAATGGCATAGATTTATTTAAATTTACATATTTCAAAATCTCAAGTCGTAATAGGAAATATTTTTTAATACAATACAACTCAATGTTTTACTCTGATATGCGGATAAATGAGTAGTTTTGACACTGTGTTTAATGATGTGCATAAATTTGGTATTGTTAACGCCACATGCACTGTAATGCATTTTATATTCATAGGTAATTTTAAAATAAAAATAGCCAAATGTTCGTTAAGAGTTACATTTTCGCTGGAGGAAACAGCTGTGATGATGAGGTGAACGCTGAGGAAACCCGATTGCTCCTCCATGACATTGGGGTACAAGTGATACAAGTGTTTCTATAGCAAAGAACTGCAAATGTGCAGATATTATAACAATCTAACACAGGAAAGGGGTGTGATGATGGACCTTTTTTTCAGCAAAGAGCCATTTCTGAGTTTTTAAGCAAATGCATTTTTTTAAAGAGCCATTTGGAGATTATTTATAGTAATACAGTAGTAAATTTTATATATATATATATATATATATATATACATACATATATATATATATATATATATATATATATATATATATATATATATATATATATATATATACATACATACATACATACATACATACATACATACATACATACATACATACATACATACATACATACATACATACATACATATATATATATATATATATATATATATATATATATATATATACATACATACATATATATATATATATATATATATATATATATATATATATATATATATATATATATATATATATACTACTGTATTACTATAAATAATAAAAAAAATATATAGTATTATTACTAATACTACAATATTATTTAGAATATTACTATAAATAATACAGATTTAAACAAAACCTTAATTTGTCCATGCACAACTCAAAAAATAAATAAATAAATAAATTTAAAAAAAGAAGCATCACGTTGAGCAAGTCCTTGATCGAAGAAAGAATATTTTATAGTGTTTTTATTTTCACCATCTCCCACTCATGAATGTTGTTTGAATTTGAGTTACCATAGAAATGTAAGTTGTTTGTCCTTTATTGGTGTTGCAAAAGTTTATCCACTTTGCCAAAAAAGGCACATTGATCAAAACATCCTTTGTTAACCAAGTTTTTATTCATTGTGCTGTATAAAATTGCAATTAAAAAGGGGATTATAATTGTATTTTTGTTAGGAAGCTGATTTTTAGTGATGGTCATAATTTTTGAAACGATAAAATAATATTAAAGGAAGACCGCTGGAGAGCCTCGTATTTTTGGTCAAAGAGCCACATGTGGCTCGAGACAAGTGTTTCTATAGCAAAGAACTGCAAATAGGCAGATATTATAACAATCTAACACAGGAAACAGCTGTGATGATGGAGTGAACGCCCATGAAAAGATGATCCTCCATAACATTGGGGTACCCGTGGGGTCTTAAAATGTCTTAAAATGTCTTAAATTTCAAATATACAATTTACATTCATTTCTTTTAAACAAATACATTAATGAGAGTAAAACTTAAGAAATGCAGAGGCTAATTTTATGAATGGGTATGTGGTAAAAAATGTAAATAAAATGTATGATCATGATTTTTAAATTACGTTTTTAATGTGTAACCATATAAGGAAGCTCAATTCCAAGTGTACAATTTAGTGGAAATATAAAAATTTTATTACATAAATATATTTGACTCTTTGTCCTCACCCTTTTTTTGTTCCTTCTGCAGAGAAAAGCCCAAGAAAATGAAAGCAAAGGCCAAAGGCAAGACAAAGTCTCAGCGTGAAGGGAAGGAGAAAACGCACAGGAAGGTAGTTTTTCAATGTCACCATTAATTTTCTTTCGTCATGCCCCTGGGATTCTCTCTTCAAGTCCGGCTTAATTAAGAGGCCCTGTTAGCTTTGCTGTAAAAGAATATTTATGCAGACATATCATTCAGGGCTGTTACAGAGACCCAAATATAACAAGAACAGACTGCTATACGGAGCACAACCTAAAAGCATTTAGTCAGCGAGCAATCAGAACATCAGATTCATAGGTTACAAAATCCTAGATATAACAAGAATAGACCGTTACGCAGAGGGAAGCGAGCAGCGCCGTCTTCTTTCTTCAGGGCGGTTGCATGGAACCACTCATTATCTGTGAACGATAGTAATAGTATTTTGCCATTATGCAAGTCTGTTCTCTAATGCAACCTACTTCCAGCCATGCAGATATTTTTGTAGTGGAATATGATTCTCCTTGACAGCTCCGAGCGCCAGTTTTGGCCTCAAGTGATCTAGATGGCTTTCCCTGATAGCAGGTTGTAAGCCATTGATTAGACTGGGCTTCCCTGTGGTGCGTCAAACTTGCAAATAGCCCTACTTTCCCACAGCACTTTGAAATTAGCATAATGCAGCTTCTTGGTCTTCTTCTTTCTTTGATATTTCCATATATTGCCTCTTCTATAATTATTACCTGACAGCCTAATACAGTGCTTTACTTGTAGTTGGTGGACTTACAAAAGAATGTCCTTGTCAGGTCAGTTAGTAGGTTGCTTGATTATTGTATTTTTTTATCTTTATTTTGGACGTAAATCATAGTAAGATACCAGTTCTTTAGTTTTAGTATCAATACTTTTATTCTGGAAGGACGGATTGAAATGATTAAAAGTGGCTAAGGAGAGTGCTATAAATGATTTACTTTTGCAACAAAATACTGATCTTTTGAGCATTCTATTCATCAGACAAATATTTCCTTATTTGTCAGCACACCTGTTTTCAACATTGATAATAGTTTGTTTTTAGCACTAAATCAGCATGTTAGAATGGTTTGACAATTAAATAACTGCTTGGAAATTATGCTATTGTACATGTTAAAGTACAACAAAATACAAATGTTATTCTGAACTGTAAACAAATGCATTATTGGTGATCATAAAAGGCAGTAAATAAGTCTGTCATGCATAGAAAGCATATAAAATGCAAGTGTTTACTTTAAAAGGTTAGTTCACACAAATAATAAAAATTCTCTTATTAATTACTCACCCTCATGTTGTTTCAACACTCTCAAAAACTCACCTGACACCTCGGAACACAAATTAAGATATTTTAGGTGAAATCTGAGGGCTCTTTCATCTAGGACTCCTTTCTAGGATTTCTAGGATTCCTTTACTACTGCAACTGTTGCTGCAGTTCGGATACAAGTTTTACTTATTGAGAAAATGAAAAAGCACTGCAGTGTTTTAGTGCTCTGTGTTTGTCTGAGGTAATTAGTTTACTACTATTACTGAAATGAAAAAGGTGGCTGGTTTGAGTCCCGGCTTAGTCAGTTGGCACTTCTGTGTAGGGTTTGCATGTTTTGCATGTGTTTCCGCAGGTTTCTTCCAGGTGCTCCAGTTTCCCCCACAGTCCAAAAATATGCGCTATAGATTAATTGAATAAACTAAATGGGTCATAGTGTATGTCTGTGAATGTGTGTATGGATGTTTCCCAGTACTGGGTTGCAGCTGGAAGGGCAACCGCTGTGTAAAACAAATGCTGGATAAGTTGGCGGTTTATTTCGCTGTGGCGACCTCTGATAAATAAATGGACTAAGCCGAAGGAAAATGATTGAATGAATATTACTGAAATGTGTATATTCCATACAAAGTGTGAAACTGAGTTGTTATAGTTGTTATATGTTGTTAAAGTTGTTCTAATCGCATGAATCGCGGTGCCCTTGAGCCATTTTAAAAGGTTAAGATGTTTTCAACTAGGTGCGCTTGGGAAATTTGGGCATGCGCGTGCACTCCATGTTGCGTGCCTCTATTGAAAAATTAGTGCTCAGCCAGCCACATTTTAATGAAACTATCGCGAGTCAAACTGAACTTTTATACCGATATTGTTTTATCGCTCAGCTCTTGTCCTCTATAGGCAGACTCAAGATTCCAGACTCATTCAAAGTAAAGAAAGGTGTTCAAAAAAGTTTGTACGATATTATCCCGTAGCTGAAAATATTCAGATTAAAGCATTGAAGTCATGTTCTTTTTTTTTTCTTTTTTTTTTTCCTTTCTTGAACTTTCTGTGATTGAGTGCTGTCTGTGGAAGATAAGGAAGCTCTCAGATTTTACCATAATTATCTTAATTTGTGTAACAGATGTACAAATAAATGACACGAGGGGGAGTAATTAATAACACAATTTTCTTTTTTTGTGTAAGCTAACGCTTTAAACACAGGTTATAATAAAAATATTTGTGAAATGCATTTTTCTCCTCTCCCAGATGAAAGCATCGGAGGAGGAGATCATGGAAACTGAAGGCAGTGGTGACAGAAGGTACAGTGAGACTGCTGTGTCAAATGTGACTGTATTTATAATTGTTAGACTTGCACATATAGTATCTCAGATCCAGGCTTTTGATTTAGAGAAATGGCATCAGCCTAGCAGCCAGCAGCTGCTCTTGGAAATGAGTTTTAATCCATTTACCATTCAAATATGCAATCATACTTCTTTTTTTTTCTCTTGCCTTTGGAGTTGATGAAAATTAATTCTGATGATTTGAATGTGCGCAGTTCTGGACAATATCCATTCCGATTTTCTTGCTATATTGGCTGTCTTTCAGGAAATTAATTTATTTATTGGAAAGAAAGCTGTGGCATGTCAGAAAAGCAATAAGTGAAAAGCATTCAGATCAGACTGGGTGGGAAAGGAGGGAGGGGATCCTGAAGGGGGGCATATATTAGAGCCTGAGGCGTAAATCTGGGTAAGCAAACATTTAACATGAAGTTGTATTTCATGCGCTAATATAAATGTCATTTTTATAAAAAGTGGACCATCTTAAACTTCTCTTCGACTGTTTCTGTCTCACAATAAGCACAGCACGTCTCTAATCAGGGACTTGAACAATCAGACACTTTGTAAATCAAGTCCTGCTGGTGATTGCTTGTGGGAGGCTGATTTACAGACAGAGGTCAGACATAAAACCTGCTGAAGGTGTCCGAGTGTGCTTTTACACTTAATCTCTCCCAGGAAGTTCTCCGCTGAATTGAACCGTTTGTTATGAAAATTGTAATTAATTGATTTGGTCCGCTCACCTCTCACCACATCTGAATCATGCTTTATGGAAATTGAAGCTTGCATCTCTCCGCAATTATCCTTGGGTGTAATTGCTGTAATTATATAATTATCATCAGTGGCCATTAAGCATTATTGTGTAATCACTGTAATTTAGTCATTGTCATTGGTCAATGCATGTTTGTCCTTTGGGTTTTTTTTAGTAGACTGAAGTTTTCACAGACTTTATATGTGCTTTGCCTGTTTTTCTTTTAGGTCTCATGTAAATGTTAAGGAAGAGCCAAAGGAAGATCCAGACTTTGTAACAGAAAAGAAAGGGAAAAAGAGGAAAAGAAAGGCGGATAATACAGATGGACTCTTATCTAGCGCCGAAGCACCTTTGTAAGTGTTTGATATTTTTCTGGGTGGGGAATAAATGAATGAAAAAAGAAAAAAAAACAGTTCTTTCTACATCTTGATTTTTTTTTATTTAAATGGAGAGTGGCTTATGCTGGGTTCACACCAAATGCAAATTTAATTATTTTATTATTTTTAGATTTCATACAAAGTAATTGCAAACACAAACGACTGGTGAGTTTCCTTTAGGCAGCACAAAAGATGCAGATTGCACAACATGTTTGCCACAAATGCATGGATTTCACTTTAATGAAGTCTTCTGTGCATGTTAAAAAGATTTACTTTGTAGAAAATATTGGCTAGGTGAAAAATATCCCTCAACTTATCTAGAAAAAGTGACTTGTGATGCTTTGTGTCTTGTGTGAACCGAACATAGTTGTCCCACTTTTAAATTAAAAGGATCATTTTAAAAACATGATACAAAAAATACAGGTTTGTTTAAAGCATAGCTCTCAAACTCAAATTGGTGGGGGGCCATTTCAGTTACTGGCAATTTATAGGAGGGCCGTTTTAACACACAAGTACAAGAAAAAAAGTGGAAACCTGACATAACTGATGTATGTTAGGACAACAGACATGACAATTATATTTCAAGCATTGCCTGTCACCAGTGATGATGCAAATCAGCACGTTTATTATGTCACACATCAGCTGCTGAAATTTATCTGTGGTTGTTGTGTGTATGGCCAAGTGTTAGACAGCACTCAGTCATTCTTCCATAGTATATGCAGTCAAAACTCCAACTTTTTGTTTCTTGTTGTACATATTAAAAGGAGAGTTTAAATTGTTATGAAAATACTACAAATATTAGACTTAATAATTATTATTCTGTCCCAACCAATTGTATTGTCCCAATAGCATAAGAACAGCAGAAAGCAGTTTGCTAACACACGTGACTTTACTGGCAATTGTTCTCCTCAATATCTTTTTTTTTTTTTTTTTTTTTTTTTTTTTTGTAAAACTGCAACTAAGAGGAGACAAGTATGTACATATTCACATTTAATGTAACAAGGTCAATTCAATTAGCAGTACAGTTTTACTAATGTACATAGTTTTCGTGCAAATCTTAATAAGCATATGAGGAGAAAATTATAACTGTTACACCATCAGCATAGCATGTAAACCATGAAGAAGTGTTTGTACAAGAAAATAGAGGTGGCATAAAACTATAGTACTACTAAACTATATATCTTGATAAAACCACTTACTGTAACTTTTGCCTTAAACTCCTAATTTGCTGCTCATAAATAATTATTAGGGCGCATGTCAGCTATTTTCCCAAGCTGTGCTTTTTTTCTATTGTTGTCAATGGAAGTGCAGGATTTAAAAAACTTTAAAAAAAACTGCAGTGTGCGCTGTGTTTAGCTCTGACAGTTGTACAAGCGCTCACAGACTTAAATAACTAACTTTTAAAACTTTGGGGTTAGTATGATTTTTAAAATATATATATTTTATCGACTTTAAAAAAAGCTACTTTTTTCTGGTTCTGATAACTGAATGTTCAGCAGCCTTTACTCTAGTGTATAGCGTCATGTTATTATTCGGTAGTCTTTCCTTCGGTGCTAATTTGGATGCAACCCAAGAAACAGTTCTCATCATCCCTGTTGAAACTTACTTCAAATTATTACTGACTTGCACACTGAGTTTGTTATTGTTATTTGAAATGTTATTGGAATTAAGAGATGACAAAGGAAACCTTAAATGTCTGCTCTGTTTCTGAAAGGCCAAAGAAGAAGAAGAAGAAAGTTGCAGATGGACAGGAAAACGCTTCAACAGCAAAGCAGAAAAAAATGAAGGAAAAAAAAGAAAAGGTGGGTTTCATATTAGGGATGTACCGATCCCATTACTTGGAGCAGATATCGGTGCGAGACTGCAGTTTTTGCTGGATTGGGTTTCGGCCGATCTAAATCCGATCTTGCTCATGCGCTATATTCTGTGTAATTTATAAGGCAACAAATGCCACGAAGGTAGCCTTGTTATAAGGCACTAAGTTGTCATGTAGCTCTACTATATCGCAAATGTTCTGAAGCCATTCTATAGTTTAATGTGAAATATAACTGGATATTCAAGTGCTTAAATTAATGTTCAGTTCAGCGCTTCCCACCGCTGCGCCTGTCAATCATTTTCCGTTCAATCACAATTCAGACTGCGTGTCGCGTTTATGACAACACGATAACCTTTCTCCAAAACTATTTGTTACTGTTAGTTTACATAATCAGCGCGGAAATGCATTTAGTTTTACACTAAATGGGTTCATTCGTATTCACAATACTGGAGTAGAGAGGGTTATTACCTGCTCTTCTCACACACAAAGTAGGCCAATAACCTGAAATTATTTTAAATTAGAAAAGGCTCAATGATTCATTGGACCGGTCCTCAACGCACCGATTTCTTACCTTTGTGCTGCTGTTTTGGAAGTGTTCGCAAATATCGGAGGGCTGCGCGCTGTCTCCATGATGTTTCAAGCGCTCCATTTATGAAAACGGCTGCACAGACGCGACGCGGGTTTATTCTTCCGAGGGAAATACTTTTAATGCTTTGTGTAGTTTGTAAAGCCTAGCTTATTAAGGTCAAAGTAGCCTAGTTGATTAAAATAATAAAAGTGAAACTGATGGGTGCTTAAGGATTGTCATTAACAGAAAATTATTCAGCCTAATGTAGGCTACTCTGAAATTGTGAATATTTTACTGTAGTTTTATTAAATTACTATTTTATTTAACAGACCTGTTTGTTAGTTTGTGCTCTGAAGAATGCAAGCGGACCTTGTTTCAAACTTCATCTAAAATATTCTTGTTTATTTTGTAGATAACTGACCAACAAAATACACTGAAATAACCAACAAATTATACCAAAAGAATTTTGTTTCAGAAAGATCATTTTTCAGACAAAAAACAAATTTTCAGACATACTGTCAGTTCTCTGTCTCACCCGTGGTGAGTTTAGGTGAGGGAATGTTTAAATCAAACTGGCCTCAGACGGTTTAGTCCACTTCAAACCTGAAGGAAAATATCAGGCTTTGCTAAAAGGCAGGTTATTTTACTTTGGGTTAGAGTCAATATAGTGGTAGCCTATTACAGATTTAAAAGAAAAATAATATTAAAAAAAGAAACGTAAGCTGGACCAAAACAGATCATATCAATGTCATAATGAATGCCCAAATAACATAGCCTATAATTTCTAGCTAGCATCATGTTTTTAGTTAGATTGTGCCATCTGTCATATACAGTAGGCCTAAAGGTTTGTTAGTTTTACTAAAGAAGATATTATTTGAGTTTAGCACCAGAACTATAGAAACTGTATTATGCTAAAAAAATAAATAAATAAAAACGGCAAAGTGTCAGGGTCAGATCTGTATTGGTTGATACTCAAAATTTTGGAATTGGATTGGTTCCATTATTGGTTCCATAGCATTAGTGCTATAGTGTTTGATTATTGAAAGGACAAAAGAGTAGCCAAGGTGCCTAAACGCACTCAAAGTGTTGATTAAAAAAAGGTTGCACACACACACACTCAAGAAAAAGGCATATGCTGCAGTGATAGAATATTCTGAATTTTCTTAAATAACATTTCATTTTTATTTTTTATTTTTTCATCTGTAACTCTGTTCTATGCAAAGTTTTAATTCAATGTCCCCATCAGGTTATTTCTCTGTGTGCTTTATTTTTAAATCCTGGTTGAAACTTTCTATTTTTCATTGAATTGTCATTTGATTCATCTTTGCCATTCTTCTAAACTGCCTTCTGCAGGTCAACATCAACTTGTCCTTCACAATCACCCAATTCTTTGATGGATTTAAAAGGCCATGTCACAAAAGCGATTGCCTGTGTTGAAAAGCTGTCATTTTATTCAACAACTGTAGCTCTCGTCCTTTGATAGTAATTTTAGTGCAGCGGAGAGCAGTTTTGGAGAACATTTCTGTCTTGCAGAGCAACGAATTTTGTTCCCAGGAGAAAGCGTTTATAGTTCAGTTTTTGGCTCACTGTGAAAAGATGCTGTCCATGTCTTCACGTCCCCTCAGGGGTTCATTCTGGTCAGGTGTCGTGACTGCTTTCCCACTGCAGACTTCACTTCTTTTTGCTTCAATTTCAATTTCATTTTTTTGGGGGAAAATAAATGCTTTTTGTCTCCCATGGGTTTGCTAACATTTCAACCAGAAAAGTTTTTTTATCTAATGGCAAAGTGCCATTTGTCACTATTGTGTTCTTTCATTATAACTAAAAGGGCACAGTCAGAGATAGAATATCCTGCAAGTTTTACCTCAGAAACTCTTTAAGCACCATGAATCACAACTAAGTTGTCAACAGCAAGGTGCAATTAGCCTTGTTTTTATGAGCATCTTGTTTTCGCAGTTTCACAGTGTATACCTGTTGACCTGAGTGTTATTGTGATATTGTGCCAAATGTTCAAAGCTGGTGATTTATTCAGTTAAAATGATGTTCAATCCTTTTCAGGGCTCAGCTTAAAAATAGGAAAGCATCAGATGCATTTAACATGGTGTATTTTCATTTAATAAAACTTTATTATTGATTAGTATAAGTTATAATATCAAATGTTAATATTATTATTAGTAAATATATTTTTAAATATTTTACATGTGTATTTGTTAGGGAAGCTCCGATCAGGAATTTTGCAGCCGATACAGAGTACTGATACTTTGTAATCGGCCGATACAGATTACTGATTCTGATGCTTCAAGCTTGTAATGCATAAGTGTTATGTTTCACAAGTATGCTACTTAATTGTAGATCTCTCCTTACCTAAGAGAATAAAATAAGGATAATCTCCTAAACACATCTCGTATAACCATTTAGTGTGATCATGTCATGGTTGGAAGCGGCTTTACATAAAATAATATTAAATGGATAAAAAATGGTAAGAAAAAGGACTAATAATGAGGGGAAAAGCGGTGAGCAGTGGAGCTTTGAGAGGAGCAGCAGAAAAAAAATCAAGAAAAAGTTTAGTGCACATATTTGATGCATACGAAGTTAAAATGCACAACTACTGTATATATCCATTACTACTTTACCAAAAGGAAGTAGGCCTATAATTGCAAATAATTCTATGTATATTTTACCTGCTGGATTGGGAGCCCATCTATTGCTGATGCATCATTTACCTCCTCACGTGTTTTAGTACTGCTGATGTGTAATATACAGTATGGGTGAGCATGTGTGTCTTCCTCTACAAACTTGTAAACAAACACATTTTCTATTGGTTCATGATATCGGGCAGATTGGTGAGTACCAGTCGAGTCATAAAATGTAATTATAAGCCGATACCGTTTTCTAGCCGATTGATTGGAGCATCCCTTGTAATTGTTATTAAGTGAAAAATTTATGCATTACATTTAATATAATTTCAAATATATTTGATATAGCAAAAGTATAAATCATTGATTATTTTCCATCATCATTTAATTGACAAATAAAGGCTTGCACACAAATGCATTTCTAAATATAAAATGTATAACATGTCTGTTTTTAATGACAGTTGCTATTTACTTGCTGCATTACTGGACACTTATTGACAGAATTTGCCGTGATGGTTGCTCTGTGTCTTTGTCAGGTGAAAAAAGAGGAAGGAGAGCGTCCGGTCTCTACTAAGAAGAAAAAAACCAAGGAGGAGATTGAAGCAGCCAGAGCTCTCAAGATAAAGAAGAAAGAGGAGGAAGAGAAACAAAGATGGAGATGGTAGGCTTCTTGTCTTATGTGGACCTCTTTCATTTCAGAATATTTGTTGTCATTGTTTTTTTATTTCTTAACTTTTCTATAGGTGGGAGGAAGAGAAGTATGAGAATGGAATTAAATGGAAGTTTCTAGAGCATAAAGGACCATATTTCCCTCCTGCGTATCAGCCCCTTCCTGATGATGTCAAGTTTTACTATAATGGTATGTATTAATGTTTTAAATGTGATCGCTGAATTTGGGATTGTGTGCCATCAGGCATTTTGTTTTTGTATGTAAAACCAAACTCTTTTTCCTTCTGATATGCATGCAAAAATATAGGGATTTACAGTGTTATATACTATACCTTTTGCTGTCTGTCAGGTTAAAATGAATCAGACTGCAAAAGAAAAACAAAGTATTAGTCACTTTTCTTGAATAAATAACGTTAGTAGTTTAATGCGAATGAATTTCTTTATGGAATCCAGTGATTCTTGCTGATTTATATTAATAAGGCAGATCATCATTGATAAGGCCTGTGACATTAAACTGTAGGGAAAAAGTGGAACATATTCAGACACTGATTTATGGGGACTATTACTGTTTTTTTCGGGTGTAATAGAATTGTAACATTATAGGCTGGCTGTTGACACTTGCGTTCAAACACCACGTAAAAGTGAGATCGGCATTACAGGTCCTCTTAAAAACTGCTTGACAGTCACTGTCACACAACATGATCTATCCCAATGTTTCTCAATCCCGTTTCTGGAGCACCACCATCTCTGCACATTTTCTATTGCTGCGTCCCAATTCGCATGCTATCCATCCTAAATCGTATTTGAAAATAGAACTAGTATGTCCCAAACCATAGTGTGTTGAAAAGAGTATGCCAAAGGTTCCCTGATGGTTTACTATTTCCGGTAAATACTTGAAGTATAGAAGCGTCCATACTCTAACCGCTAATATCACCCACAATGCATTGCATGTTGGACCTGGAGTTGTTAATCACCAGCTCGGTAAAAAGTGTAAACGAACTACAAACATGGCGGATGTGTGAGACTACCCGTCAAGTAGGGAGGCTTTGGTAAAGTTGGTTAATTGACTGTTGATTAATACAAACCAACTGGATCATGTTTAAACCATGTTTTCTATGTTATATTGCATCTGCAACAACATTAGCTCCTTTGACACATTGATACAGGTAAATCTCCAAAAAAATTCCAGAATGACTTTACCAGTTAATTCAAAAAAGCGCTGTTCACACAGGCGTAACTGAATTTTTCTGGAAAAGAGCAATCACACATCCATTCCAAAATACAGATAAATTCTGACATCATTAAACAGAAATGAGCTCTAAACGGCTGCGCTTATATTTGTAAAACTTTGACTACATGAAAAATTTTGTGGATGGATAAGTATTGTGAAAAACTTTGACGAAAACATATGGAGGAACACTTACATGTCGAGATGTACATAATATATGTGTGTGAGCTGGGGCTCACTGGCTGCTTCACGTGCACACATGTCAGAGCTTGAAGGTAAACAAACATTAGTCTATCATAAGCATTTTATGGATAGTTTTTACACCGTTGGAGTTAAGAAGGAACATGGAAACGTTATGACTAAACATCTAGAAGCTAAATGGGTGTAGAAAAATATTAGAAGGAATTTATTTCATAAACCGCGTTCTGATTGGCTTAAGTAGAGAAATGCTGCGCTGTGTGAACGCAGTAGGATGATTGCCGGATAGAGAGCGTTCTATACGTGATTTACTTCTTTCTCTGCAAATTACCAGTAATGTTACAACTTCTCTTTCCAGAATTTACTGGTATTTTCTAAAAGGGCCTGTTTATACATACAGACCTTTTCCGGAAAGGTCTATATGTGTAAAAGGGTCTATTGTGAACTTGTATCAAGATATGTTGGGACATTAAATTCTAAATGCACAACTACTCTGGGGAGACCTGAGGAGATTTCTCTGCATGAAAGACTCACAAATGGCAGATTATCCTGCTGCTGCTTCTCCATTAAGGTAGGTAATTAAATCTGAAAGAAATGTTGAGGATGCGTTGAGATGATTGAGAGGGGTATATAACTAATGGCCCGTTTCCACTGACTGGTACGGTACGGGTGGTACAGGTCACCTTTATTAGGCTTGCATTTCCAATGCCTAACCAAGGGTACCCATTTGGTGGGCGTGGTGTACGACAAACTTTCAGTCGACGTCATTCTCGCTCTAGATAATCCCACTCAAAGTAAAGCTGTACGGGTCGTTCACATATCATACGAGAGGCACTTCTCACAAAACAGATGCTTTATACACATACTTTTGTATAAATGTTCATTGCTTACATTTGTATGAACAGGGTTAGATTACTGATAACTGCAGATCAATGAGTGAGTGCAAAATAGCCAACTGCAACGTCTGGAATTCTATAAAATAATTAAATGCAACAAGCATGAACACATAAAGCCCCTTATAGTCTCCAATATGTTGCCAATTACAAATAAACTACACACAGCATACAACTCAAGAAGCTCGTTATTTCAAATATAGACACACACACAGCGATCGTGAGCTCCCTGGAGAAAGTGAAACCGCTCCTACTTTTAGACAGTTTCGTAAAACAAAAACAGGACATGGCAGATGGCTTTGTAGTTGTACATCAAGACAATGACAAGGTTTGTTTGAGCCGGTTTGACCATGGCTCGTTATTATATGCATAAAGTATTACGATGTAATGTTTCCGCTGTGTTTTTAAAATTGGCAGTTTCTTTGTTTTCATTCTTCTGCTTGTGTGTGCACAAGTGACATTTCTCTGTAAACCAGTAGATTCAGCTGCACGTATAGCTCCGGCTTTTGGTACACTTTTGTTGTGCTAGGTACACTTTGCTAAGGGTACTCAAAAGTAGACATCCAAAACATGCAGTGTTGGTGGCCCTCCAAGAACATGGTTGAGAAACACTGATCTATCATGAACTGTTCCATAAACCTTTTCTGTGTTTGAAAGGCTTTTATTCAGATCACTGACTAGCTAATGCAACTTTAGCTTTTAACAGCAGCTTAAGTGATGTAGTGGCTTTATCAGCTTGTGATTGGCTATTTCATTGAGAAGGCGGGATTATGAGAATTCTGTCATATTGCACGTCGCACATTTATGGTACTATGAGTGCTCCATTATTTCTGTGTTTCTTGAGGGTTTGGTGTTACTGATGCATTGCGTAAAAGCTTTTCACTGCAAAACATTTTTAAATGCTTACGGTGAAAACTATTCCCTTTAATTTTCCCGATCTGGGCTCGCAGCCCAGCCTCAAGGTTGACCTGTTCCTCTGTTGATGTCAGGCTTACTCCAGAGAGCACAGGAAGAGTCTTTAATCTCTTTGCTAAACTTTAAGGTCAGCTTCCTCTATTAATATCCACTCTGCCATTTACCGTAGTGAGGCGCTTCTTAAACTGTAAGTGCGTTTTGGAAGGCCTAGACCATTAATCTTGCTACAATAACCCAAAGGGGGGAAGTATTTGGATTTTGTACCTGAGACTCTCTAAAGCTATAAATGCAGTTTTGATTATATTTGTCCTAGGCCATGATTCTCTGTGATGCATTTAAAGTCTTATATTGTGGGATGCGCAGGCGAGTCCTGTGGGAGCCGTGTCTGATAACTCATCTTAACTCATCCTATAAAAGCTTGCAGCACACACCTCTGCCGTAGATCTGTGGAAATGATAACTTTGTTTTTTGTCTGTGCTTTTGGCTTATTTAAAGAGGTAATCATCTTTCAAAAGTGAATACTAATATTGTTTTTTCTGCAAGTAACTACATTTTGTTTTTAGATATTTGGATTTGAAATAACCTTTTGAAAATAGCTTGGTGCTACATGGTGTACATAAATACCCTTTAAATTATGCAGCTTAAAGTTACACTATTAAAAATTTGTTGACCAAGTTTCTGTATTTTGTGATTCACAAGTGTTTTCTGTTTATTTATGTGCTTTATGTAAGTTTTTGACTCTTCTAAAGCATAAATTACCATACTATGTTTGCAGATATTTAAAAAACATTCTAAGTGAACATTCTTGTTTATTTGAAAAACAATGCATAAGTCAGTCATTCATTTTTTTTTTTTTTTTTAACCCACCCAATGACAAATTATATTTCAGCACCCTGGGTGGCCTTGTTGGAAATCAGCATATTCCATTCATTCAGTCAAAAGGCTCTCAAAATGTATCCATGACCAAAATGTGACCTGCGGTGGATCGTAGCAGACTCCGAAATGACTCATTCAAAGTTCCACATGAAATTCTGAATTAGCAATTAATATAAATATTATGAACGTAAACATTAGGTGAGCAGGTTATATTTTAAACCGTGCAATTTAGCTGTTTGCACCAGGCGAAACATGACAGAACTTTAAAAACAGCCATTCAGAAGCACAGAATATGCTCTCACTCACGAAATGGTAAGGTTTATAATCCAAATTAATACATATTAAACCTCTTCAACATTATTAAATTTAGATGCTGTCTAATCACTATTTCACAGTTCTAAAGATCAATTTCAAATGGTTTGTTTTATTTTCAGGTAAACTATCCACTTCCGCTTTCAGTATTATGGCAGTAAATGTCATGTAAAATGGCATTCAAACTCGCATTGTTAGCATAAATAAAGCACATGAGGTGTACCCGAGGTGATCATTGTCAGTTTTCTGTTGTTCAACTGAACAAAATGGAACTCATATCTAAAATATCACTGCGAGGTATTGGTTAGAACAAAAACTAACTTTAATATGGAAAATATTACCTTGATCGCATGCTGTTGCTTATATATATATATATATATATATATATATATATATATATATATATATATATATATATATATATATATATATATAGTTATAGTTTAACCACTGGGTGTCAAACTTGCATACTGCACCTTTAAGGTTGTGAATTGCATTACAGGACCTTGATCTCTGCTTTTTTGACCTTTTGATATTGAAAATCTAACGCTACCGTTTAACAAATGGACTTTTAATAACTGTTTAGTTATTTGAAATAATATAATGTATGCTAAAATTAGATATGCAGAAGTCAAAATAACAAGATGTATGGACCATTTAGAACAAGGTGTTTGGAACTTAATATACAACACCAACCCAGACAATATATCACTTTAGTGTTTATAAAAATCACTTTTTTATTAAACTTTTCAAGGCTAAAGTTTGTTGAAAGAAATATCACGGTTCCATAATGCAATTCAAAAGCATAAATAAATTAAAATGCCAATTTACAGATTTTTTTTTTTTTTTTGCCACACTTCTCAGCATGGAATATGGGACACATGGTCTTATGCAAAATGTAGGGATGCTACTTGGTTTTATCCAAAGCATTAAAAACATGTTTACAACTTCTTTTCAAATGCTATTGACTAGCTTTATTTTGAATAATCAATCCACGATTTTAGCTTAAAGTTTTCTATAAAGTTTAACTGAAGAGGAATTAATCTCATATGTACGGCATGCTTTTAACAACTATCCTTTGAATATAGATAACATTGAACTATGATAGCAAATAAAAAGAAATCTGCATATTTAGAAAATACATTTATTGACTGCATAAAACATTTTATTGACTTTGAATTGCTTAAATGCATAATTTGACAGAGGCAGCCCAGAGTTGGCTGTAAGCTGGTTGCTTTTTCATACTCTATTCCTTACAGTACCAGATGTTCTGCTTTTGTAGGAGAGCCAGTGAAACTCAGCCTGCCAGCTGAGGAAGTGGCCCTTTACTTTGCTCAGATGCTGGATCACGAATACACCACCAAAGAGGTCTTCCGCAATAACTTCTTCAAGGACTGGAGGAAGGTAAGCCCAGCTCAATCTCGTAACCAGTAGCTTTTACAGTTAACGCGTTTGCGGTGGCTCTAGGAGGGCTGGGCGTACGGAACAGTTATGAAGCTTACAGCATCCCAGAAGGCCTCGGGGCGTATCATGCAGAATTAATTTTGTGCTGCTTAGTGCTCAATGCTCTTGAAAATACGATTTGTGTAAAGGCATTGATATGCTAATCCAGACAACTCGCTTCCCGCATATGAACAAATCCAATTTAACTGTTTTATTATAACACGGAAGCCCTGCTCGCTTCACTGAGCACAGTCTCCGCCCCGTGCTCGCCTGTCAGTCACCAGAATGAGCGAGAGAGGAACCCAAGTGATGAGACATCGGCTCTATTATTACAGAGCTTTCGGAAAGTGTTTTTGTGCGTTTCTTCTGGGTGATCTGCTTGTGGCAACCATTATTTATATATGCTCTTTCAGAGGTCTTTTGACCCAATTATTACTTATTAATGAAGACTAAACGGTGGGATGCCATTGGGGGTTGAGTGGGTAATGAATTCCTTGTTTTAATGTATGGCTGCACACCGTTGCACTTGCATTCATTGACTGTGCGGTGCAGACGGCAATTAGCAAAACAAGGTCAGTGGAAAGTGTGATGGGAGGGAGGAGGCGTGTTTATGTGTTTCGTAGCATTTTGTAATTACCACACATTAGAGACTTGCTAGAACTAGGCGCCACAGGATGTACCTGTATTCAGAGCAGTCTTACTCATGACTAGGTATGAAACTGCCATTGCAAGTGTAAGAGAATTTATCTTTGTGTTTTGTGATGTTTGTTCAACTAAGGATGCTGCAAGATTTAAATTAAATCTGTTAAATACACAGTTTTTTATACTGAATGTGGTATTCTGGTGCAACTTATATAAGTATTGTGTTTTTCAATTTTGGTTTCTGGTGTTTCTTGTCAAATTAGTGTATTGTCTGAGCTGACGATGTAATAGGGGTGTCAAAATTACTAGTTTCTTTCATGCACCGCAATACAGATATGAACAATTTGCTATCGGTTCAGTAATAATCATAACTGGTTATTTACTGATGTCCTTTATCACATATGCGTTACATGTATACTACGGTGAGGGAGGAGACCGCAAGTAATTAAAACACTCCGACTACTTAAAAAGCAGATAACTATGGATGATTCCCTGCTTGTGAGTTTGCTGGACAGTCTTTCACTGACAGAGAAGTACATCAGAAACTGGCTACGGAAAAAATGTTAGCTGTAAACTCTCTCACTCTCTGTGGCCCCTTTGACCTGCTGGCGTGTTCCTGAGGTAACGTTTTATCTCCTCTTTTGGCTGTTACAACAATAACGTTACTTGTGGATTCTGACACGAGCATGTCTGCAGAACGAGTTTTCCCCTGTGTCGCCTTCTGTTATAGATCATAATAGAAACAGCGCCAGAGCTGCGCTGACCGAGACAATGGCAGTCTTTTCTGTTGAGCGTGTTACTAATCATAGGTGCTTAAGATATTAACACTATAATTTTAACGTGTGTTTATTTGCTTTAAATGCTATAATGTGCTTTAGTTGTTTGATACATTCAAAAAGAGTGTTTCTCTGAACATGAAATATTAAAGGTACAGTTCACATAACTGACTGCTTGTATTAAAGAACAAAATTGTATTACAAATAATATAAAAATGAAAAAAACTGTACAAAAGCACGCACATCTCTCTAAATTGGGTGCTCAGCCAAAACCGCAAAAAGTGCAAATAAATGTCAATCAAAGGCGGCAACACCAAGGCTCCAAAAATACAAATTTATAAAATTAAAAAGGCTGACACACAGCGTGTAACGTTTCGAGCCACCCGGCTCTTCATCAGACAGTGTTCATCACAATCAGGTGCTCCTTTTTGTACACTTCCGGATCACATGATCTCCTCTCACATATATGCCCACATATACATACATGTATATGTATACATACACAATCATTCATAAATACATATACATATATACACATAAATACATGTATACACATTCACATATTGTCTATAGATTTGATATTTCAAGTCAAATTACAAAAAAGTATAGATAAATCAATAAACCATAATATTACATCACAAATTATAATGAAGAAAAAATATATTTGAAATATATAATATTTTTATGATAATTTAATTTATTTCGTGTTGGCACCCTTGGCTTATTTGGGAATGCCATGGATAAATATAATTTTAAAAGTCTTAATTCTTTAAACATTAATTTTAAAAGTCTGTCAAACAACAGATTTAAAAAAAAAAAAATTTTTTTTAAACCATTTAAATTATATTTATAAGATTATGTTGTTTCCTAGTGATGGGTTGCGGCTGGAAGGGCATCCGCTGCTTAAAACATATGCTGGATAAATTGGCAGTTCATTCCAATGTGGTAACCCTCGATTAATAAAGGGACCAAGCTGAAAAGAAAATGAATGAATGAATATGTTGTTTTCACATTGAACCGGTGGTTTTGGAAATGAATTAATGGACAATTCAGACGTGGTCCGTTCTGGCAAAATCCTAAAAATTAATTTGGCATGACCCTTGATGCGCTTTATGGGTATTCGTTGGCTGTTGAGTGTACATCAGTTGTACTATTGTTATTCTAGTGCATTTTGAGACTGAATGACTGCACTCGACAATGTCCGTTGTGGTGTTGGACACCACTACAAATGGTTGTTGCCTCAAACTGGGATTCCTCACTCTCGGAGAGCATTGTGAAGTGAAAATCCTGGCGGCCATATTGAAGTGCCATACCAAACCAAAGTGCTGAAAACTGGCCACTTTGAAGGGCCCTTTGGAATGAAGGATTTTAAAAGAGTACAACTATTCAATGGACACTTCAGGTCCTCATGATTCTTTGCGCAGGGAAGTTCTTTGGTGTTGCACATAGCGTTCCATTCCATCCCTATATGCCATAATCCCTTCAAAGCTGTCATTCTAGAGCAGGGGTGTCAAACTCATTTTAGGTCAGGGGCCTCATGGAGTAAAATCTACCACGCCTTCTTTTTCAAATGGTACATTTTCATATGACTGAACTCGTACAAAATTGCAGCTAAACTGACAAAAAGTAAAATAGTTAAATTTCCTCGTGAGATCACCTCAGTGTGCAGGGCTTCCTACAGGTTTGAAATATACTTGCAGTGGTAGCCTGATTGAAAAACATCTTTTTCCCGCAGCACATACATGGTCAACTACATGCAACAAACAAAAAATAATGCGATTTTGTAACTTGATTTTTATTTATTACGACACTGTTATACACCTTTTCTTTTCAATTGGTTAAAGTTATTTTAAAAAGGCTGTTGAAATAATAGAAATCTACTATTTCTTACTTATGCTATTTAAGGGTGCTCTCTCTCTCTCTCTCTCTCTCTCTCTCTCTCTCTCTCTCTCTCTCTCTCTCTCTCTCCCCCCCTCCCTCTCTCTCTCTAAAGTTGCTATATTTGAATGACATTTACAGTATTGTCAAAACAATTTAGATATTATAAAGTATGTAACATATTAGCATCATTAAATAATTAAAATATGCATCAAATGAGAAAAAATGGGGGGGGAGGTGGATGGGTGTTGCGTGCGTACTGAAGAGCGGTGTTCTGATCAGCTCAAAAGCGGTGTTATCGCGCGCCTACTGAAGAGCGGGACCGAGGGTGTGCCGCGTCGCGGGGGCACTTTTGATCATTTTGGAAGGGCACTTTCTATCCAAGACTAAAAAGGGCATGTGCACTGCACAGGTTGAGCCCTATGTGTGCACGTGCCTGTACACAATTTAATGTGAATTACATTCAGCTGCGAAATGGTAATGCAAAAAACGCATACAAATAATGACAACTTTAGAATGCGAAAGTAAAACCTGAATTCTGGACATTTTAGGACATTCAGAAACTACGGCCGGATGCATTTTGGCGGAAAAGGCGCGTCTCAGTGGGTCTGCCGAGCATGTAAGAATTTCTGTATGAGTGACAGATCGCGCACACACAGAACCAGCAGTAGGAAACGTGCAGAGCGAGAGAAGATTTTCCACATGTTAATCGATCGCGAATGTTTAGTTTTCTTGGACAGATACAAAAAAAGGTATGAGGTCTTTCTCTCTGAGATGGCTGTCAAATTGACGCTGATTCAGGCTTGTGGATGGGATGAAATTAAGTTTGCTATTGCCATCCAGTGGACACAATTGTTATAGCAGTATATTTTATTGAAAAATTTCAGCTTACAGAATCATCTCGTGTATTGGCTTCGGTTGCGGGCCTGATCCGGCCCGCGGGCCGTACGTTTGACACCCCTGTTCTAGAGGATAAACCCATCGAGGGGATCAGGGCATATGGTTGAGCCCTTCCAAATGGAACACAGTGTATGAATGTCATTCAGTCATTTAATCCGATGATTTGTTCTAAAACAGATTTATCCAGGAATTAAATATTGTAGTGTGAGATTGGTTACTTGGACTCCTAATGTCATAATTACCTTACTTTCCACTGCAGAAAATAAAAATCCAGTTTCCATTGGTTGCCATACCTACTTTACCTTGACAAAATAGTGGCCATTTCTTTAATATTGCAAATTCTTTGTGACTTACCATTTAGTCAGTTTGATTTATTCAACTCTATAGAGTCATGGATCATGCCATGCTCTTATCCAGTGTAATTGATTTGTGGGTCTCTGAAGTTTGAGTGTCTCCATGTCATTTTTTTGGACCCTTCTTTCACTTTCCCTCTGATTTTACTCTCTTCTTCCCCTCCGCACCAGGCTCTGCTCCCTGGCTAATGGCCCAGGGGTGCCATTCATGGTGAAATGTGTGCATGTGTGTGACAGAATGGGGAAATAGAGGGGGCCAGGTCAGATGAAATTGCTTGTGTGAGGTCCCGTGGCGCAGGTTCTCTTCACCAGGCCCAGGAGAAGAGATTAGAGTGAATCAGTGTTAGTGTGACATTTAGCACCGCAAAAGTGCAAGAATAAATCATAAACCGACAAAAGAGAAACGCGAATG